CGCTCTGAAAAACGGAGGAAGCGTCAAAGCAGTGAAGAGGAAACTTGGGATAGGCAAAAATTGGATGTATGCACTAAGGGACAAAGAAGGCAAAATAACTACCAATATGGATAGGATAGTTAAAATAGCAGAGGAGTTTTACAGAGATCTGTACAGTAGCCAGGACAACCACGACCTTAATACTATAAGAAATAGCAGTCATCCAGATGACACCTCACCAGTAATGATAGAAGAAGTCAGAAAAGCCTTGGAGAGCATGCAAAGAGGCAGAGCTGCTGTTGAGGATCAAGTAACATCAGATCTGCTGAAAGTAGAGGACAGATTGTATTAGAAAAACTAGCTACCCTGTTTACAAGGTACCTCCTGACGGGAAGAGTACCAGAATCTTGGAAGAATGATAACATTATCTTAATACATAAGAAAGGAGATGACAAGGACAGGCCAATCAGCTTGCTCTCCGTAGTATACAAGCTACCTACAAAAGTAATTGCTTACAGAGTTAAGAAAACCTTAGAATTCAATCAACCAAAGGAACAAGCAGGATTTCTAACAGGCTACTCAACAATCGACCACATCCATACTATCAATCAGGTAATAGAGAAATGCTCAGAATATAACAAACCACTATACATCGCTTCATAGATTGCGAGAAGGCGTTTGATTCAGTAGAAATATCAGCAGTCATGCAGACACTGCGGAATCAGGGTGTCGATGAAGCATACATAAACATCATGGAATAAATCTACAGGGGATCAACTGCTACCATAGTGCTTCATAAAGAAAGCAACAGAATACCAATCAAGAAAGGTGTAAGGCAGGGGGATACAATCTCCCCAATGCTATTTACCGGGAGCTTACAGGAGGTTTTCAGAGGCCTAGAATGAGAACAGTTAGGGATAAGAGTTAATGGAGAGTACCTTAGTAACCTGCGTTTCGCCGATGACATTGCATTGCTTAGTAACTCAGGAGACGAATTGCAACTCATGATTACAGAGTTAGACAAAAAGAGCAGAAAGGTGAGTCCTAAAATTAATCAACAGAAGATAAAAGTAATGTACAACAACCTCGGAAGAGAGCAGAGCTTCGAGATAGGTAATAGTGCAAGTTCTAAACGACTATGTCTACTTAGGGCAAGTAATAACCGCGGAGCCGAACCACAAGATGGAAGTAACTAGAAGGATAAAAATGGGGTGGAGCACATTTGGCAAGCTTTCTCAAATTATGACAGGTAGATTGCCAATATCCTTCAAAAGAAGGGTATATAACAGCTGTATCCTGCTGGTACTTAGCTACGGAGCAGAAACATGGAGACTTACAAAGAGCATTCAGCTTAAATTGAGGACGACGCAGCGAGCAATGGAAAGAAAATGGTAGGTGTAACCTTAAAAGTCAAGAAGAGAGCAGAATGAATTAGGGAACGAACAGGGGTTAAGGATATAATAGTTGAAATCAAGAAGAGGAAACGGACATGGACCGGGCATGTAGCGCGTAGACAGTACAATCGCTGGTCATTAAGGGCAGCTAACTGGGTTCCCAAAGAAGGCAAGAGGGTGAGGGGGAGACAGAAGGTTAGGTGGGCAGATGAGATTAAGAAGTTTGTGGGTATAAATTGGCAGCAGCAAGCACAGGACCGAGTTAACTGGCGGAACATGGGAGAGGTCTTTGTCCTGCAGTGGACGTAGTCAGGCTGATCATGATGATGATGATGATGAAGTAAACAGAGGGCTCCCCATACAGTGGCGCATGTGCATTGAGATAACACACGAGGGAGAAGTTTCAGAAGACTTACATTTATTCACAAATCACAGGACATCTGCCACTGAAGTAATTTGTGATGGGCATCTGCACACGTTTGCCTTGCAGCAAGTCAATCAATTTCGCACACAGCTTGCACAGCATGTCTACTTCGGCTTCAGCATTCTCCTGGCAAGAGAAGGTGTGCACGGCAATGTCCAGCGTTGACACTCTCTAAAAATGACAACAATGACTGCATCTTCGCTACTAGCCTCTGCACCAAAGTTGCAGTGTGGCCAGCACATGACAAGAAAGGAGGAGCCTCTGCACTCGCGGAGAGAAGCAGACCGGCATTTGGATAAACCAACACTCCACGTCAGCCTTTTTTTTTGCTCTGTTCACGAGCGTCGTTAAAAGGAGAAGGGTTACGTGGCAGGGACGAGAAAGGGGGAAGCGTGGCACAGGCACGTGAGAGAGAGTTACATTCCGCGACAGCTGTTTTTTTTCTTCTCTCTCTTTGCGTGCGGCGTTGAAAGAAGAAGGGTTCATAATTGAAAATTTTGTAGAAGCGCACTAAAAACAAACGGACAGAAGAGGCTGACAAAAACAGCGCTTTGAGAGAGAGCAAACATTCTACCCACAGCCTTTTTTTTCCTTTTTTGCGCAGTGTTGAGGCGTTGGAGGTGCTGCCGTGGCACTGGGCGGGGTGCTGAGAACATTTTCAAAGCCCAGTATGTTCGAATTAACCGTTGCAAGTGCTTAGATGTTCGAATTAACCGTTGCAAGTGCTTAGATGTTCGAATTACCGGGCGTTTTTACCCATTGAAATACACATAGCTTTGATGGGACCTTACCGTGAGTTCAAATTAACCAGAAGTTCGAATTAAGCATGTTCAAATTAATAAGATTCGACTGTAGTACACTTATTTGCAACCTCTATGTAACAAATTAGCAGTGGGATACAACCTTAATATAACGAATCCCCCTCCCTACCCCCCTGACAATCTGAAAATTTTGCTCCGTATCTTGGAATTTTGGTACGAGCATGCATCTTCCACGATTGTTCCACTGCTGACTAAGCGCGAAGCGGCTGCGGCGCGCACGGTGCATAAGGTGAGAGCGAGCGCTTGTATTGCGTGCAGGTGAGCGCAAGGCGTGTGTGACCAGCACGCTGCACCTTTCGATCTGCTTGCTGTTCTCAGAGTCAAATTCCAAGTTGTTGCTTACCGCATTCAATGCTTCGCCCTTGTGGCAAAACTTTGATTTTTCTTAATTTCAGACAACCATGTCATCAAAACTGAAAAAATGTCAGATTAGGCACTGATGGAAACTCTCCAAGACCAAGATGATGACGGATCTTCAGAGGTCGAAACACCATGCGATATCGTCTTGCGCCATGCCGCGAGTCCGCAGGCTGGTAGCGTTCTTAATTCGCCGATTTAGTTCCAGCAACACGACGGCGCTTTGAATGCAATGCAATGAACGCCACAGCAAAAAATTGTAATGTTATAAAAAATAAGGCTAGCAGACTTACTTTTTTCGACCAATTCTTTTCGATCCATTATCGCGGAACTTCCACAAAACATTGGTGTGAACAAATATGGCCGCTCCAGGGAGAAGTGCTCTTTTCACACAGTCCCTTCGCGTTGACACCGCCATGATACTCGCCGAGAAAGCAAACGCGTTAACGATGGTGACCGCTTTTGAAATCAAAGTTTATTATTGCTACTCAAGTGATTCCCCCCACTCTCTGCGTTGTTTCATGCTCGTTTAAGATGGGTGGTTCACTTTTTGTTTGAGCTTCTGACGGCGGGATATGTTACCTTGTGCACTTTCTTCCAGACAATAAGGATGGGCCCACTCATTTGATCTCTGCTTTAGCAGTGCTCACGCGTTTTTACCGCTCGTGAAAGTTACGATGCGCGGGGGCATGTTATCAATTTGGACTTGGTACGGAACATGGCGGCGACGGCGAAAACCCACCGAGAGTGTCTATATAATTGTTATCGCAATAATGCAGTATTTTTACTTTAAAATAAGTATTTTGGGTTAGCTCTGCCTTCAGTGCCCCTTTTATTTAATTTTCGAATTTTTGAACCACACCTGCATATAACTCAATCCTCTTTATAACAAATTTTTCCGAGAATTTATCAATTTCGTTATATCCAGGTTTAACTGTACTATTATAGTCGATTAGAAAGAAAAATGTTGTTATATTGCTTACAGATATCTCTGTTTACAGCCCAACTTTCTCCAGAAACTATCTTAAAGACAACACCATGCTGCTTTTTAAACTGCTAAGACAGCCATCACTCACCCGCAAGTGCTCGATCCCCATGAGAGTAGCAATTTCTTTGGCCTTCTCTTCAAAAATGGAGCTGCTGATCAGGAAGTTCGCACCGCGCACACAATTGAATCAAAGAAAAAGAGCATTTTCAATTTCTTTGTATGCCGCCGTTCTCATCCGCATTCTGTCCGTGGCCAAGTTTCCAAGCTTTGCGGCTTCTTCAACCTTCCCTTTGTTCTTGAGTATTCTCAACAGTGTGGACTACGCAATATTGAACTTCTTCACAATTTCTGTCTTCAATAGGTTGTTGCGGTCAAGTTCTTGAATGATTTTTACTTTCGTTGCGAGCAAAAGTGCAATGTGCTGGCGTTTTTTGTTTCCATCTCAAGTTCACGGCGACATGGAAACAAAGAAGATGGAAATAAGATGAATCGTTTGCTACTCGGTGTGCGAGTACATGTGCAATCGCTGGATTGGCTTAGTTAGGCTAGCTTTGGCATTTGTTTCATGGTTGCTAGACTGCCGTGGCCACTTCGGCCATTCATGAATTTTGCCCGTTTTAGTTTCCATTTAACTGATGTAAGCAAAAAAAATTTTCCAACTGCCCAAAACTTTTTACCATTATATATATATAGGAGACCAACCAAATGTGCCAAAATGGTTTCGTTTATGCGGCTTTTCCATTTAAAAGCGAGTTTCGTTTATTGGAAGTCCACTGTAGTAAATATATATCAAGGCTGCTCCGGCTGCGTCAGCCGCTGTCTTTCTCGTAACAATATCATCTTGGCCAAGGCACTCAAAAAACAAGAGACACAAGACTTCTCATTGGTGCAAGTGTGCACTGCACATGGCTATAACTGCGCTGCATGTGATTTCGCGTGCACTACGCCGAGCGACAACGACAGCACGCGACAGCCGGGCAACCCAAAATGCTCCACCCTGAAAAGAGCCTGGCGGGAAGATGAAAGAAGGGTCTCACCTGTGAATAGGTGACCGCAGTACCGCTGGCGGTGCTGTAGTAGGCAGCATTGCCAGGGGTGTACATCGCCCCCGAATCTGTGACGCTGTACACAGGATAACCCGTCCTGCAAATCAAGCATGTGCACTTAGTCATTTCGGACCAGGCGTAGAGAATACTAATCAATCGAATGGCGCTCCATTCAGTTTTCTTTGCTCTGTTCCGAGATGAACCATGCCAGTCGAAGGTTGTGCTAATACAGGAAGAAAATCACATCACACTACAAATAACTCAGAGCAGCTTGCTGAGGCAGAAAAATGTCCAACTTGAATGGGCAAAGACAGAGCACGTACACAATGACAAGAGGAACCCCTCCCCCATCAAGGCAGCATTGGTAAGCGATAGTGTGCGCACATTTTTCTTCTCGTAAACTGCAAAGGTTTCATAAATGCCAGGACTCCTTGCAAGAACCGGTAAAGGGTGGCATGCAGCCACAGGAAAAGCAATGGCTGACGATTCATTTTAAACCACACTTGCATGCCTCCCCAGACAGACAGTTTGCCCTGTGAATGAGAATCCACAAGGCTTTTACTAATAGCGGATTTAAGATTTGAACCAAATAGTAATTTGATCAAATGATTTCGAATCAAACTCAATACAGACGATCCCATAATAACAAACTCGAAGGAAATCGCGAAAAGTAGTACAGTCAGCTTATAATGCAAGTCAACTGGAGTTGCAAATATCCACACAATAAGCAGTACCACACTATAACAAAAACAGCCTTTCTTTAGGACCACACTTGCTCAAGACATGTTGAGCATGCAGTCTCGTGTGTCCGAGAATCGAAGCATGCAATCCCTGGTGTTAACCAGATAAATTTTCGAATGTAAAAAAAAAAAGAATATAATGTCCTCAGACACGCGCTGCCAACGAAATGAACGTAAAATGGGGGGGGGGGGGTAATATAACAAAAAGAAGCAGCGTTGCATAAATCCTCTGTCTCCTTCTAAGACCGTCTCGATTATGCACATTACAGAGAATCAGGTTCGAAATTTCATGTGCTGTAAGACGCCAATCATTCGATTTCACAGGGGCGCACACGATTTCGAGACATTATAGTCGAATCGTTAACCACCATTTTGAGCCCTGCATGGGCCATCCTTGTTTTCATTAACGATATGTACCCTTTCCCTTCCAGTGTGGCCACCACAAAGAATTTCATTGATTCTGTACCAAACCGCTATTTCGATAGCATGGGCCTCTCTAAAGAAACGAAAGCAATGCTGATTAAGTGGTCATCATTGAAGTTTTAAAAGTAAGCAAATTCATCACCTTTGCTATAACAGCGGCGATTAACGGTGAATGCAGATACAAGCTCTGAAGCATGGTAAAATGTTGTTTAGCGGTGGTGTTAGAATGTTCACAACCACACAGGACCACTTTCGTGGCACTGGCAACGTTATCTAGAATATTGCCACCTAGAGTTGTGAGCCGGCAAGCCCTAGCGAGCCGAAAAGGAAAAAGAGAACGAAGAAGAAGTGTGTGTTAGCGCTTCGTTAAAAGATACACGCTCGTGTCTTCCTGCCCCGCTGTTCCTGTCTTGTCTTCACGGCTCTTGGTGTGTGACAAACTGGTGGAGGTGCTGGGTATTCTATGCACCGTACCCCTCCACATAGCAAGAACTCGAGCGCCGTACCGGTGGTTACTCCTGTGCACCGCGCCAGCAGAAGAATCCGAGGGCAATCCCCTGAGTTTGGACTGCTCGTAAACAACATGGCAGCTCCGACCAGCCCTACTGACACCAACCCAAACGGTACGAACGGCACAACGCCGCTTCATTGCACCTTACTCACACCGCGAACGCCAAATCCCTTTCATGGCACTGCACTTGAGGATGTCGAAGATTGGCTCGTTGCCGTGCACAACCAGTGGGACGACGCAGACAAACTGCGGCACGTCTATTTCAGTCTTTTGGATGGCGCACGTGTATGGTATGAGAACCGGGCAGGTATTCTTACATCGTGGGAAGACTTCAAACGCCGACTTCTTGGGACATATGCCAGCCCTGACCGGCGGGAGAGAGCTGAGCGCGATCTGCAGTCCCGCATACAACTGCCGAATGAAGGGGTTGCGATGTATGTCGAGGACATGACGCGTCTTTTCCACTGAGCTGACCCCGGCATGCCAGAAGAAAAGAAGGTACGGTACCTCATGCGCGGGGTGAAAGAACAGCTTTTCGGTGGGCTTGTGCGCAGTCCTCCCAAGACTGTGTCCGAATTTCTCGGAGAAGCCGTCACCATCGAAAGCACTCTTAGGCACGGGGCCCCGTCATACGAACGGCACGTCAACGCTTCAACTACGGACTACTTGGGAGCTTTCGGTGGTCAAATGAATTTCTTCCGAGAGATCATACGTTCAGTCGTCCGCGAAGAACTCCAGAAGCTGTCTGTGCCCTCGCAGCCCACTATCTCTTCGTTGTCCAGCGTAGTCCAAGATGAAGTCCAGCATGCCTTAAGAGAACCTCCTTTCATGCGGGATTATCAACCACCCAGTGACTTCCCCCGCATGTCGTATGCTCAAGCTTTGCGGCAACCTATTACACCCGCAATCTCGCATCCCACCGTGGCCCCAGCCATGCTGCAGACGATCCAAGCGGCGCCATATTACAGCGCACCTCGCCTGATTTCGCAGAAATCAGACGTCTGGCGTGCGCCAGATAGACGTCCTCTCTGCTTCCACTGTGGCGAAGCTGGGCATCTTTACCGATACTGTTCTTACCGGCAACTTGGACTACGCGGATTTTCGACGAACTCACCGCCACCCAGGTTCGGTCAGCGGCCCCCTGAAATTGAAGAGTATGTGGCTCAGCAGCGCGGAATTTCGTCGTCCTTGCACCAGTCACGCTCCCCGTCACCGCGGCGATTTTCTCCTAATCGCCGTACCTATTCGAGCGTGGCGCAGGGTCGGTCACCCAGTCCACGCCGGGAAAACTAACCACAGCGACCTTCAGGGGCGAGGCCGCTCATACTGGACAAGCTCAAGGCCTCCTACCGACGCTTTCGGAAACTGACGATACCCCGATGACGACCACACCAGATGGTTCCGCAAAAATTTCGTTAGACATTCCAGTGCTGCTCGACGGTCGCAAAGTCAGTGCTTTAGTTGACACGGGTGCGGATTTTTCGATAATAAGTGAAAAACAGGCTGGCGGGCACATCGTACTGCTGGCGGGCACATCGTCATGCCACTCGGCGTTTGCACAGCACGAATACAGATTCGTGATTCTACCTTTGTTGTCAGCTTGAGCCTTCTCCGTCAGTGTTCTCGAAACCTGATCATTGGCATGGACTTCCTGAGGGAGCATGGTGCTATCATCGACATTCGACAATGCCTCATCACATTTTCAACAAAAAGCGCCACACCAGAGCATAATCCCAGCCACGATCGAGTATGTCTGCGTGTAATTGACGATGATGTGATGATACCACCGCGCTCAAGTGTTATGGTTCGAGTGGCGTGTAATGAATCAGCACACGCTGAAATGGTCGCGGAGAGCAATCGATCCTTACTCTTTTCCCAGGGTATCTGCGTAGCACGAAGCCTAGTAGACCTCCAGGCTGGCCACTGCGAGGTTCTTGTTACAAACTTCAGCTACGAGCGCCGACACCTTTTCACTGGTACTGTCGTCGCCTATGCCTACCCAGTAACCAATGTGACTGAGTGTTTTGCTTTCGAGGCGACGATAATGCCGAAGCACCTCTCCAGTGTATCGACGTAAATCCAACGCTTTCTGACGAAAACAAACGAAGGCTTAACGACTTGTTGACAGAATTCCACGCCTGTTTTGCTCGTTCATCAAGGATCCGTCAGACATCGATTATGAAACACCGTATTATCACCTACGGCGACGTGCACCCTATACAGCAACAGCCTTACCGAGTTTCACCAACTAGACGACGCGTGATTCAAAAGCAATTGAAGGAAATGCTTCAAGACAGTGTAATACAGCCATCGAGCAGCCCTTGGTCATCGCCAGTGGTCCTTGTAAAGAAGAAGGATGGTACACTTCGCTTTTGTGTCGATTATAGGAAGCTGAATAACGTCACAAAGAAAGACGTGTACCCGTTGCCTCGAGTGGATGATTCTCTTGACAGGATTCACATAAAAAACAGCGCCAATAACGAGAGACTAGAAAAAGAAGGAGACAGACAGCGGCACTGAACTTACAACAAGATTTATTTGCCAGAACCGCACAATATATACTTGGTCAGTATCTAACAAAAAAAGAAAATACAAAACAAACAAAACAGAATCCACCTAACAACCACATAGTCATCTTCACAACGCACCATGAGCAGCACGTGTGCTAACATGCCGAAGGAAATCTATTTCTTTTAATGATAGCGCAATCGAAGGCCTGCTGACACATGCACTGCCCAGCCTTTCTATTTCTGAAGCCTCATAAATTTCTCGTATCAACTGGTCCCGATGCCGCCTAATGACGGTACAAAACTGAAAATCAGGGACACAGCCGCAGTCTCGGCAATGAATGCCGAGATGGCCCAAAACTGTAGAGGAGACGTTGTGAGCGTGCTCTTTCAGCCGCTCATTTAAACACCTGCCTGTTTGGCCGATGTACCACTTGCCGCAAGACAGGGGTAGTGAGTACACCACTCCTTCAATGCATGGAACGTACTTCTTTCGATGCTTGACTTTGCAGCCTCGCTCGCCCCTCGAACCAGGATTCACGGCTGTGCACAACCTAGCCAGTTTTTCTGGGGCAGAAAAAACCAGGTCTACGTCGCACCTGCTGGCTACTTTTTTGAGATTGTGGGTGACGCCGTGGATATAGGGAATAACGACGAAGTTTCGTTTCCCACGTCCCTTATCCTTTGTACGGTTCTGAGCATTATTTTCTGGGCTCGTTCTGATAATAAGCAAACTAAACGCCTTACAGAAGCTGGTTTCCCGATGTACGTTTTGACCGCCGTTGCTGAGTGTCTACTCAGAGAAATCAGAACGAGCTCAGAAAATAATGCTCAGAACCGTACAAAGGATAAGGGACGTGGGAAACGAAACTTCGTCGTTATTCCCTATATCCACGGCGTCACCCACAATCTCAAA